GGGGGGGGGGGGGGGGGGAGGTGGAAAAGATGAAGAGGGACAGTGGCCAGGCAGGGAAAGAGGAGAAGAGGCAGAGAATAGAGGGACGGAGACAAAAAGCTGGGTTAGGTGTGGGAAACGGCACAGGTGGTGGACGAAGAAAGGTAGAGGAACTGACAAAAGAAAGGCTAAAAAGACAAAAAAAGGAAAAAGAAAAGACAAGAAACTGTAGAGGAAGGGAAGAGGGCAAAATATGATTTTACACCTTGAAGAGAGTGAGCGCAAAGACCACAAGCCAACATTTCCCCACAAAGCTCTCTCCATAAAGCTCCCCAGCAGACACAGTGACTGTCCCTGAACTGCCATTTAAAAAGGGAGCCAACAAGGAGCCTCTGCAGAGCACCACCTGTAATCTTCTCCCTTGTTTAATGTTGGCTGGGGGGCCCCGAGGGGACGGGCCACTCACATGAAAAAAAACCCTACTGATTTACGGCTCGCAGGCCCTGTAAGGGCCTTTCAAACCGAGATGACAGGTTGACTGCCACTCGGCACCAATTGTTGACAGTTCACAGGGTCAAGGCGCAAGGGGGCTTTTGAGTCATGTGCGTCAGTAATGACAGGTGTCAGCCCATCTTAAAGAGGGGCTGTGAGTTGACAAGGAGACAGAAGAGAACACCTCTTCACCCTCTTTTCTTTAATCCCAAACTTTTAGAAAATATAAAGCAACTTCATGCACGATGGGGTAAAGTTTTAGGACAGGGTGTGTAATAGTGTGTCCACCTTTTTTTTCATTTACCACTGCACCACTGGCTGACCCTATGTGTATGTGTCATTTGAGGTCTTCATTAAAATTCCTGCATTGACATGGGAGGAGTATCTCTATCCAGCTGTTTGCTATTTCTTTGCACCAGAGCCCTTAAGATCTTGGGCTGAAACATGATTTCTGCAAAGCAAATGCAACAGAAACAGCTGATATAAGCACCATTATACAAGTATTGAAATGATTGCTTAACCAAGGAGAGCAAATGTAAGCCTTACTTTGACTTTCAAGTCCTACAGTGGAGTATAATGGCAGGGAAGATGATAAAAGACAGTTTAAACTAACCAGAATGAATAAAAAATAAAGCTGCCAAAATGTTCCATTAGAGTCAGCCTCAGTGATCTGGATCAGTCATCTCTCCACGGGCCTACCTTTTGACGGATGCAGCAGTTTGTACAACTTCTCGTTCCTGCACACCCCGCGGCCGTGCAGGAGCGCGTGCAGCGGCTTCTCCTCGCCGTTCTTGGGCAGGCAGCGGAGCCCGCGCGTGCACGGCCCGGTGTACACGCCGCACGGCTGGCCCTCTTCGAGCGCGCACGTCAGGCAGCAGCCGCAGCCGGGCTCCTTCACCAGCTCGCAGCCCACCGGCACCGGCGGACACATGGACAGGGCCTTCTGATCGCACGGCTGGCACGGCACGTACGACGAGCCGCAGCCGGTTATGCTCAGCAGGGGGACGACCAGGAGGGACACACTCAGCAGCATAGTGCGCTTCTCGTCTTAGACTGCAGGCTGTTTGACCTAAACCGCGATGATTATCAGCTGTGTCTTGTGGTGAATCCTTTCTTTGCAAAAGGTTTGAGTCCAAACAGCAGAGGGTGTGGGGGCGGGGGGAGGGGGTGATGTTGCATCCACAGGTGCCTTGCGCGTTCCCAAATGTCACCGCTCCCGATGCTCGCAATCCACAAAGACACTCAGTCACTCTGCTCCCCTCCCTGGGCTTTCCTTCAACCTTGCAGCAATAAATAAATGTAAAAATAAAAAATAAAAAACAGAAAAGAAAATATCCAGACACCACCTTTCTTTCCCTCCAGAGATGCGCGGTGCCGTTTACGCGCAGGCTGTTCGTCTCCAACTGAGAATGAAAGAGACTGATACCCGCTGTCGCTCTGTCTGCAGGTTATGTTGCCCGCACGGTTTGTGAGCAAAAAATCTGTGGCTTTGAGCTTGCCTTTTAGAAAAGAAACTGCCAGAGGCGAAGCCTGTAACGATGGATATGTCAAACAACGTTTCGAGGGGGAGGCGCACTTGTCAACTCAGTGCGCTGCGATGCTGATTTCACAGGGCGGGTGCTGGCATGCCTCCAGATCTCACAGATACGCTCCTGAAGTTGACTGAATAAGACCTTGTCTCTCCTGTTGCAGTGTGGCCATTTAGTAACCCCAGGCTCATGGAGACAACGTTATTATTATCATTATTTGTGCTTAAGAACAAGGCAGGTAATTTCTCACAAAATCAGCTTCAACCGAGAAGATTCTGGAAACTTAAAATAGCTGACGAGGTTATTTGAACGACAGCCAGTGAACTTCCAAATCATGCTGCTGGATTTAGAAGTAAGCTAATAAAAAAGAGCTGTTTTTAGACAGTTTACAGACCTCTTAGGAAAGAGTCATATAAACATACTGCAAGCAGACAAACTACTTGGAAAGGAGGTGATGTGACAAGAGAATTCATGTCCCTTTTCATTTGTATTAATTCTGGTGAATTGCCAATCGATTATTTTTCAAAATATGCTTTTATATCATGTTATTTATATCAAATCAGTGGAGAGCTTATGACTCTAATATTTATTGGTCATTGTGTTACTGGTCCCTTAATGTGAGTTTTTCTTCACAAATAAGGGTTTTATACAGTAATCTCCTATCTTCCTATCTGTCAGAGAATATAAGCGGACTTTCTGATCCTCCACCTTGTTGCACACCAACATAAAACACACATCGAATCGAATTCTAAATACTTTTCTCGATATAACCTCCTTGGAAGAAGCAGTCAGATACTTATGCTGACCACAAACATGGTTTTGTTCCCCTGTGGAGCTGCCAGATGGATACATAGACCCCACTACACCCTAACATGTGTCATTTTCTTCTTTCTTTGTCTATAACAGAAACCTTTTAGTTAAATTTGACGGTGTAATGGCACCAAATACACTTCTTATATAACAAATCTTAAAGCTTTCAAAGTTAAGGGTGGGTTCCTGCTTGTGAGACAAGAACGCTTTTACAATTCCCCTCAGATATCTTTGGGTTTTCCTCTTTTGCCAAAGGACTGTAGCTTTAAATATTTGTGCAATGCTGTCTTAACCATAACAAATGTATTCTCCAAAGATCTGCACAGTGACTCAAGGTCCAGATCAGGGCAAACCACATTCAGACTGACCTTATTTTATGACTCAGCGAGGTCAGTGTCCAGTGAGATAAGTGGCCAGCTCTCATGGAGGGTAACTGAGTACAAAATGCTCATAATTCACTTGATGTTTTGGCAGATACCAATATATGTCTGAGGATTGTAGATGATCAGCATGTTTTAGTTTTTAGTAAATAGAGTCCCTGCAGAGTCCAAGATGAGTTAATGTAATGCTTTTGACCCTGGTCATGTTAATCCTGTTGGAGCAGACTGTTCTTTCTGTGTATAATTTCTTGATTATTTGGTTTAATTGACCTCTTTGTTTACTTCCTTTTATTCTCCATCTTGATTTTGCAATTTAAGTGGAGTTTTAGTAGTCCGCGATAGAATATATCCAATTTCTGGTGTTTGTTACTTCAGTCAGTACTGAAACTGACCTTTAAAGAACCTGCACTGATCAAAGCTTTTATTCCTTTTCTGCGTCAAGTTTCACTTCCTCTTTCTCCCTTCCCCCTTTTGTGAAACTTTGTCAGCAAACTATTCACACCATCAAACCCCTGTTTGCCTTTTCCCTTGACCTTTGCGCCGTATCAGGTGTCAGATGACGTCACACGTGGCGGAAAGGTCAGCTCAGCATTGCCCACAACACCTCTTTCATTTCCCTCGTCTACCTGTCCAGATTTGAAGAAAGAGCGCCTTTCAGATTGTAAACCTGTGCAACACATCTGTCTTTCACAGGTTCCAAAAAAAAAAAACTCCCTCTCAAAGATCGTCCTGAGACTCTCCTACACATTTATGATTCATAAATTGATGATTTATTACCCAGAGGCATATTGGCAATGCTAATATGTCTACACTTGTTTTGTTTTCTCCAGATGTGAGACATGGAAGGACTGTGGTCCAAGGGCTGCTAGGTTTCGTAAACCCCGTCTGCGTCAGTTGCTGTATATGGACCATATGATGCACAGATGGTGCATGTAGCTGCTCGGGATAGAGGTTAATGGTTTGGGATTTTCTTTGAAATTAAAGTAAGAGCTAAATATGTGCTGAGGTTTCAATGTCAGGTCTGTGGGAGATTTTAATGCCTTAGGTTTTAGTATCGATGTTTCAGTTCATAACTTGGCTTTGAATTTACTGTTTGGTACGTGGAATTTCGGCTAACTAATATTGGCACAAAGTTTTCATCTGTTCCATCATTCTTAGTCCAGTGTTGCTGTAACTTACTAGGAAACCATAACACTCCCAAACAACTCTTCCAGTTGTAGTTGTTCCTTTTGTGTTCGCCCCACTGACATCACTCGCTATATGAGTTAGGGTTAGGACTGTAAGGGATAAACTGAGTAGCATGTTTCAGCTAACGGACAACATACACTTTAAAACGCCCCGCACACCCGAACGCACCCACACAGGTGTTTTCACTTATTGTGTCTGATTAGAGCTCTTCTCGGTAGAATGTGGGCATGCACAGACTGTGCTCGTTTGACATCTCCTGTTAGATTTGGTGCACCCTTTAGGATGGGACAAATTACACCATTGTCATTCTTATTGGTACATGGAGTTGCCTCATGTAATTCCCAGTCTAGTTGTATCAACCTTAAACCTGAGGAGAAGTCAATTAGTCAGTTTAACTGGAAACAGCTGTGTGGGTGAGCAGGTTCAAGTTTTTGCACATAGTAACCTAATTAGAGTGTACTAGACTAATTTGATTTGGTTTACAGGACACAGTGAACCGAAGACAGTCACTTATTGAACTGAACGTCCTGTACTAACAAATAAACACTGTTACAGCCCTAGCTGTGTTCCAGTTCAGGACCTGAATCCTCCAATTCTCACTATTCTTGACTAAATATGTCAAATAATGGATTGATGGGGACTGTCCCATTTAAAATGCTTCTCAAAAATATGGAGAAAAACTTGGAACAAGCACAAAACCGTTAAACCATTTTGCAACTCTCAATATACCAAAATCCATTATGTCCCGGTGTCAAACTGGTAAAGTTGGGAACCTTAAGTTATAATAAGTTGTAATATGTTGCCTAACTGCACCAATAAAAAAGCCACAGCTGGATGAAAAGCAAGCATCGACTTGTTGTTATGAAGCTTTCTATAATACATTGAAGTTTGCCCATTTGTCATGACATTGCCATTTTTTTTCTGACTACTTTAAGGACTTCTCATCTATGTTGTCTCCATCTGCTATCAACTATCTCATCTGGTGAAGATTCTGTGATATGACCGAAAGCACCGGAACACCTACTAAATGGATCTCATGGTAACATTTTTCCACATCCTGCTTTCAAGGTCAAAAGTGAACTTTAAACCTCAGCTTTTAAGCCAACATGGACAAGATTTGTCCAACGTTCAGGTTAATCTTAGTTTCAATCATTTTCATGTCTTTGTCAGTCAAACTCATGTTCACACTTGCCCTCTCTGTCTTATTAGAGCAGTGATTTAATATTTCAGCCACCTGTACTAATTCAACTCCTGGAAGTGTATTAGCAGAGAAAATGATGCATACTTTGATCATATGGAAGTTGGCACGAGTAAGATTATTATGAAGACTTCAAGTTTTATTGCAAGAATTTTCCCTGTCGACTCTCAAGTGGTTTGAGAGGTACTTTTCTTCTCAGAATTCATATGCAGTACTCTTTAAGTCATCATTTTTTACCCCTCTCATCTGTGATTTCCTACTTTTTCTCAACCATTGTTCATCTGCTTCTGTCTGCAGCTTGGCTTTCATATCCTGACCTACTTTATCTGTCAAAAGACACTGAGCCGCTGCTGCACTTGTTCTGGAAGAGATAATGGAGCTGGAGTCAACTTGAGTGATGTCTGAACGGAGAAAATGATCAAAAGAGGAGAAAAGCAAAAAGCAAGCTCAGCACAAAATGGTTTGGAGCCGTGATATAATCTATGGGAAACAGCACTCCAGTGTCGTATTTCTCTTCAGCCCCAGGACCTTGGGTTAACGTGCTGCATTACAGGAGAGACGGTAGAGAAAAAGTATGCCAGACAATGAGGTAATCCTGGTGAAAGCGATACCTGGAAAGCTTGTGCTGCAAGATGTTTTCTAGGGTTTTTATTTGTGTCTCCAACGTCTAAGTCAGGTGACAAATCACACATAAAGTCAGCCAAAACCTACTTCAGGCATTACCATTTATTATTTTTGGCCATTTATAATTGTTTTTTTCCATCCCAAACTGCTACCACCAAGTTAACCAAGTTGTGCACCTCAGCTAGTTAGGATGATTGACTTTCTAAATTAAAGATCTGATCTCATGATACCTGCTGGATGTGTTCTGATAAGGTTTGACTTTGTGGAGACCCAGAGGTAGACCTAGACCACTGGAGAGACGTTGGACGACATCTGAGACCAGAAAGAAGAATGTGTGGTCTGCTTACCAGAAAATGGATAGAAAACTGATGCAGTATACTCAGACTACAAACAGTGCATTTCTACAGTGGGTTGGTTTGAAGTTGCTTTCAGTTATCACTCTAAGTATATGCTTGATGTGGATCGGAGTTTGTGTGACTGATGTGTGCCATATGACACAGTCAGAGCTTACTGTAAGCGACAAAGCAGAGTAAACCGCTGGAAATGTGCTTAGGCAGCATGTATTGCCCTCCCCCATACGGTCTCACACTGAGATAGAGTCAGTTACCAGAACAGTGTAAGCACTTGATTTTGAAAAACAATTAGAGGAGCCCACACTGGATAAACTGGGGCTGAAACTCCAGTGCAAGTGAATCTGTGTGTTTGGTGTGAA